CTTAATGAAGTCGAATGCATGGAGCATCCCTCGAGGATTGCTGAAGGCCCAAAGTTTCATCCTTTAGCTTTTGCAACACTTCATTCCATGAAAATTTTTTTGAAATTTGAAAACATGCGCTGTTCAGGTGGACATAAAGGTAAGCTCACGCACATTCCACCTCGATATGAAATTGGAAGCAAACTTATCAGCAGACATACGAAGCGGAAAAGAAGATCATGCCTTTTGAACAAATGAGTAGGTATGAAAAAGCTTAAACAACCAGGTTTAGCAAAAACATAATTATAAATTGATACAGCTTGGAGTTTTCCACATCTTTACCCAATAATACTTCCCACGGCAGGGTCTCTCAAGCTGAGGAGTCGGGCGCTTCCGTCAGGAAGCCTAGCTAAGAGTAAACCAATACCAATACTAGGATCCACTGCCGTCATGGTATGAAAGTCGCATGGTGGCAAATCTCCCTCTGATCCACAAAGGCTGCGACTGCTTGTGGCGGTGACGACCTGGGGCAGACTTTGGCTAGGCCGACCTCGGGATTCCAGGTAACCACAGTGGCTTGACCAGCAGGTCTCTGGAAAATGGCGACTATGCTGGGGACCGCACAACTAGTGAGTACTGGCCGTTCAAGTATCAAGTATCAAGTAAGATAATCATATCAACAACAACTGCCCTGTATAAAAGAGCGCCGTCAGAGGTGTGTTCAGCTCATTCGAGATGCTCAACTGAGGAAGATCCGGTTCGATGCAAGATGAAGACGCCACATGGAGAAGAGGAACAACTATGGACCACCGACAGATATCGTCGGCTCCGACGAAGATGTAGACGTCGAAAAGTTAGCCGAATAAACATCTCGTATCAACCTCGTGTAACCTCAACAATATAAACAAACTTCGTAATACTTTTGTCATAGAGTCGTCTGTCGTGACTTTGGTCGTTGAATCCAAACGCTACGGTTAAAAGCGATAAGCGATTATAATATTATAGAAAACGAGTTAAAAAATCGGATAAAGTAGTAACATAAAGTACTAAATGCAAGTTCAGAAAATTGTCCGCTCAACTCAAGACGTCGATCTCCTCAGCAATGTCGTCAGAACCGTTACCACTACTGACCAATCAGAGTTAATCGAGGGCTCAGTCGAATTCTTCAATTTCACTCATACTTGGACTACATAGAATATTCACACGATAACAAAACCCAACGGAATATGGCGAGAATAAACGAGACCCCTCTGTTAAATCCCTATCGAGTTCGAGAAAGCTCTCGCTCAGTTGAGAAGGAAAAGAAAGAAGGCAGTCATGGAAACCGAAGACGGCCAGGCCATCCCTACAGAGTGTATAAAGATTCTTTGTCAACTACATAGAAGTTATAGTACCAAGATGACATCATTCCATAACAATACTAACATTAACATCGACGTGAAAAGAGAGGTTAGGCAAGAAGACTCCCTCTGTCCAAATTAGTCACCGTCAAATAGACTGTGGAATGGGGCAACATGGAAGAGGAAATCGATGGTCCCCAATTACGTCATCCTCACTTTGCTGATGACATCGTTTCTATAACATCAAGCATTACCGAGGTGAAACGAATGCTAGGCAACCTCGACGAAGCTTGTGATAAGGTTGGTCTCACGTTAATCCCACAAAAACCGTGTCCAAGGAGGAAGGATTCCTTCCTTATGCCTCACTCACGCTCAAAAAAAAAACATGTGTCGCTGGTTGGTCCAGCTACATATATATTGATTGTGAAGACAACAAGGCCAGTGAGCTCGCTCCAGAGTTGAGCAGGAAGAAGAGAGCAGCTCGGGAAGCTTTAAAAGAGAATCGCGGATGTATTGAGGAAGACAAAGGCAACCCGGCTTCGTGCCCATCCCTTCGACTCCACGTCTCTCTACGGCTTTAAGTATGCTTCAGAAACCTAATCAATACATAAGCAGGATAGAAAATCACTCGGAGTTGTAAAACGCATAGTCGAAAAGACGACAATGGGCGTATACCATAATGCGTATGTTAGAGAGTCGAACAGGGCTTTGACCTACATCGACGATTATAGATGATGTTGTGATCATCAAATTGTCGATAACCAAGTGGCCGGTCACCTAGTGCTCGTGAGCGACAACCGGTGGACAACAGCCTATAGTGACAGGATCTCTAGGCATGTCAAATGTACTACGTTAAGATCGCGGACCCTGTGATCAGAGTTCTTTACGAAGGCCCTGAAAGAAAACTTGGTGATCAACGAGTCCCTTGATCGAGCAGCATCTATTTGACTACTCTTGCACGCGTCAGTGAGAACTCCCAGGCAAGGCTCGCTGGTGGCCAATCGGGTCAAGAGGAGACAACAACTGGCAAAAGCAATACTTTAGGTCTTAGGTACTTAGTAATCAGCTTATCGCTTCCCATTGCCGTTTAGCCGTGTGCTTTTATTTCCAATCTTCCGTTAAAATGATGAAGTCATCGTGAAACCAATTATTTTAGATGATTATGTTTTCTGTACTATAGGAACTGTCTTAGTAGAATTACTGGAAGCTTGGACACTTGCACGACCCAACGACTCATAGCCAGCTAGAAAGACATTCTAGCTATAACAGTATTCAGTGTATAGCAACATACACCATCCAGAAAATAAAACAATAAACGAAAGGTAAGTGCCAGGAAAAAGCAACCAATCTCTATAGGTGGGTGAAATGCTTAACTCCTTAAACTTTTAATCAACGAGAAATTAGTCGGGAACGCAAAAAGAAAACAACAGCACATGTTAGGCCAGGGAAAGAAAAACAGCAAAGTCCATTATGTAAGGCACGCAGAGTTCAATCTTCAATCAGCAACACATTGCTATTCCATTTCGTGTGAATGCGATGAAACTTTGATGGCACGTGGAATGTATAAATGCTACACCAATGAAGAAATTGCGAAATAAACTCCATTATACCTACAGAAAGCGTGCGTGTGGCGCAGTGGTCGGAGGCGCTCCGGAACACACGCGTGGAATCGATCCTCGCGTCCAAGCCCACCAAACCCTTTCTCCCTTCAGGGTCGGCAAATTGGTACCAGACCTGTCTGAAGGGATAGCAGCACTGAATCGATACATCGGTAGGCCACCGAGAGTCATTGCAAATGCCAGACATGCACTCAATGCTCTCCAAACCATGCTTGACGAAGTGGAATGTGTTGCGCATTCCACAAGGATTGACCAATTCCGAGACCTTTATGCTCTGATCCTTTATACCTGCAGTTGAAAAAAAGTCAAATTCTACGTCACCATAAGTTTCATTGTTCATACTGATGTGTAAATATATACGAAATACTTTCATTTCCTAGAAATCTTCATCGACATCTCTCTTAATTTGAAAATGCGTCGTTGTTTGTTGTTTGCTCTCGTTGTTGTTGTTGTAGTTGTAGTTGTTGTTGTTAATTTGCTCCCAGTGTTTTCACTTAGTATTACGTGCAAGAGAAGTTTAACAAAGTAGCTGCCACCGATAAACATGCTCAAAACGAAATCCTTGCGTTGATGTGAAAACGCTTCGTATTCTGATGGCTGTGGAGTCATTTACCGTCGGAGTTCATCGACACGAACAACCCTTCGAATGTGCTGAATAACACATTTGATTTCAAAATATGCTAAAATGAAGTTTTCTCTGCCACTCCTCAATAAGAGAGATGGCGAGCAACATCTAGCCATCGCAGTTCGAGACGTATTTGCACTTCAATGCGGAAAAGTCCTACAAGAACCAGTCTCCCGGCCAGCAAGAAAAACGAGAGCATCGATAGCGTGCAGGCAAGGACTGGAGTGACCAGAAAGGGTCAGTAATGGGTAGACCAGCGAATCCGTCGTACATCGAGCAATACGATGAACAACAAGAGACTTGCTCTGAATCCCCGAGGTGCACCCACCCGAAAAAGTGGAATCTGGCGGAACGTATGAAATATTTCATACATGAGCCTCACAGACTGCAATGCGGCGAACAAAATGCTAGGCTGGTTGTGGTCTTCATAAAGACCAGCACGTCCCCCTCTTATTTGGAAGGTCTCTGCGCAAAACTGACCATTCCACCACTGACTGAAGATTTTATAGAGGATATATCTGGACGACCTGATCACCCTAGGATTTTCTTCACTTAACAACGAGAAACTTGAATGTTAGGAAAAGTTTTGTTACTGCCATTGCTTACGAATTTCTCTACCATTTCGAAGGACTTTAACAAAACATTGTTTTCTTCGTATTTTTGTTGAGCAAACGCGAGGTGTTACTATTCTTTGTTCACGATTAAGCTGACGTTTCGGCGGATTTCGCCTTCTTCAGAGCCGCTTTCTATGAGGTTTCCACTAAGTACATTGTTTTCTGTAGTGGGATGAGGACAGTTTATCATCCAATATGCTGAGAGCAATCCTAAGAAAGATAGGAAATTGACAGTCAAAAAAGACGCCTTTCAGTAGTGGGTAGAGCTGACGCGTCACCACTGACCTGCACGTGCTCACAGAAAAATACTTATGTTTGTGTCAAGGATTCCTTGAGGAGGAAATGTCAGCAATAAACGCTAAAGTTACAATGAGAAAAACGTATTTCAGAAGTTATGTAACAAATCAGAAGACCGGCCATCCATTAACCTCGGCACTGATCAATAATTCACTATTTCTTAATGAGCAGACACGAGACAATAGTTGACGTTTCAGCAGTTTCACCCCTTTTTGCTCTAGTTTCTAAAAAGGCGAAACTCTGTTACATTTTATCTGAACCGGCAAATCTCAACGAGGCATTAGCTAGCACTATCGCGCACAGGCGGACGAAACCCTTTTGCTTTTGCTGTTTCGATGTCCAAAACACGATTTTTAACGAATCAAACGCCAAGCGCAAGAGTTTTGGTCTCCAAAAACCTGTGTGTTCCAATGAGATGATATGGAACGAACTTCTATCTAGTTTGAAAGATTTACACGCTTTTAGGATTGTTGGCTTACCTTTCATTTGCTGCATGCACTTCTTTCAATACAGGTTACCACGTGAAATGGAGCCGCAAGGACGTTGGGCCATCCTCGATTCGAAGCCAACTGAAGTTTGTAGTTTGCTCATATCTCAGCATTTGCGCGATTATAGTTCACATCGTACCTCATAGAGCAACTATTGCCAGAATAGTTACTATTCTTTCATCATATCCTATGTCTGTGGTAACCACATTCGTGGTCTCTCATATCGCTTTGTGATGTTGCAGCATGTAAACGTTTTCACTTTATTGAGAGAAACTTTGTTTGTCGTAAATATCCTTTGTGATCCACACTCTTTTTATACAATCGTAACCTTTTGTGTGTTTCATCTGTTCCAAACCATCACGGGTGCGGTAACACAAAGGGGCAAGAAGCTGTCCGGTAAATCGTCCTCAGTCATTTGATCACGACGAAGCTGGAGACGGAAGTTGATGGGTGTTTTCGGTAAATGTTCTGGACCTGTGCCAAAGCACCGCCTCCTACAGAAGATATTTAAATAGCCCCGTGCATTAATACCGTATTCGCCTCCCATCCAAAGTGTTCTTTCTTGTTGTATGTGGTCACTGTTGTATATTAACTTTGCTGTCATGCACCTCTGAACACGCTAACTCTATTGTGTGTTCACATTAACCTTATCGCAGTATACTCATACGCTTACAGGTGTTCTTTAATCCGTTAACCTTATTGCAATGAACCTACAAGTTAACACATAACCTCATCGCAATGTTACAACAAGGTTACATGTCGCCCGTAACGTGTTAACCTTATCAGAACCTCATCACAAATTTACATATAGTGTGTAACCCTTTAGTATTGCTGTTTGTGAGTCAGGTATTACGACCCTATATAAATCCCTTAATGTGCCTAAATCTTGTGACACTTTTGATGTATTCTAGATGCACATTGCACTGTTTCATTACACTATAGGAAAGATACTAACCCGCCTTACTCTCACTTATTGATCATAATACTATATTGCAGTCTGTATTTTACCATTGTTTATATTTCGTTGTTCTTGAGTTATTATTGTTATAAACAGCTTAATTACCCAAGTTTGAGATACTGCTCCGCGACAGCACGAAAAGTCTAGCGTGGCAACTTTTGCGAAGTCGAGCATCCTACTCAAAGCTAGTGATTATAAGGTGCCGAGAATTGATTCGAAGACCTAATTTTCCACTAGCAACTGCTATACCTCACTATGAGAAACGAATTGAAAGTAAAAGAATAAAGCTCTCAGCGTTGATCAATCCCTGAGGGATGCGCCAGGCATTCGACTTCATTAAGGATCGTTGGAGGCGATTGAATGTATATCTGGCCTTCACAATGACTCGCGATTGCCTGCCAACGTATATAGCCAGTGGTGCTACCCTACCAGAATAGATTGGTACCAATTTGGCGTCCCCAGAGGGATGGAGGGTTTGGTGGGCCTGTGGGCGGTGGGTCTTTCTCATGTCTGTAGGAGGGTGCCTCCGATCAATGCGCTACACGCGCCCTGTAGAAAGTACACTTCAGAAAAATATCGTTGACAAATTTACAGGTTACACCAATGGATGCAAAGTGGTTCGGGATTGATCATTGGAAATGGACCGATCTAGCCGCATAACAAGGTAGAATCAACAGTTCGAGAGCACGAAAAACTGGGTTGCGAAACACCTCCTCACGAGAATCACGAGGCCTCTTGCTATACGAGTAATAAAAAGTGGTTGCGAATTTTATCTCTTCCAGTACTCTAGCGGCATTTTCCAGTTATGGAAAATGCATATGCTTCTTGCATATGAGTCGTTTTTTCGGACCAGCCATTAACGAAGGCTTTCGATTTCCTAACATATAGGCTCTGCTTCAGCTCGAGGATTGACGCCTATTCTCTCTCAAGTCCTCTGTTAGCAGAGATATAGAGTTTCCACATGGTGTTGGACATATCAAACTAAGAATAAGTACTCCGAAAACCAGCTTTCCTTTAACTTCGATATGACTAGTCGGCGTGTATTCTTTCACAGATAACCTACCATGAGGTTTATAAAATATCATCCGGCTAATGTTTCAGCACTTTCGCTTTTTCAAGAGTGGATTGATCCGAGTTGTTTCCACTGGTTCCACTGTATCCACTGGTTTTATGTAGATTTTCATAACCAGACGAACCCAGTGGGCTACTGCCACAATAACAAACCTCACTCGGTAGTGCTCTTTTATACAGTGCGATTATTGTTGATAATGATTGCACAGAGATAATAACTTGTTTACCTCCAGGCTATATATAAGTGGTGAGAATAACTTCGAATTCACTTTCAATATTTCCATTAGCATATGAAAAGCCGCTGTGGCGATTAGTCGACCCTACTGCATGATCACGGTAAGTGACGTTGCACTTGTGGTGAGTCATCGTCTGGTTAAAACATTTCGCCTCGAATTACGAGTTCGCACAGATCACCCATAATTAGCCAAAATCGGGCTTGGATCTGCAGGACTCCGCGGAGTTTTTTTTAATTTACGGAAGTTATATAGCGCTTTTCAAGATTTTCTATAAAATATATTTCAGGGTCCGTTTCTATTTCTGTTGCGGTTTTACAATGTCACATAGAATCAGGCATGCTCTGCGGAAAAACCTGGGAAGTCAGGCAGTGCAAGTAATTCACTATTATGTATACATGTATATTTATATATCATCATTTTATACTACTCGTCTTGTGGTCGTCTACCATATAACAGGAAAATATGAGTAGTTTCATCCCACTGTATTGGTGAGACAAAGTTTGTGTATGAGGACTTCGTTCAGTTTCTTTTTTCAGTCACGTTCTGACGAAGATGATACCTGGGAGAAACTGGCCAGCTTAATAGAAGAGTTCACTAAACGAAGTCATAAGCGAACGGTGAAACTGAAAAAAGTACAAAAGGACAAAGGAAAAGTTGAAAAAGACGGCGTTGAGGATGTAATGAATGTAATGAAGGAAGCTGTGAAAAAGGGAGTGAACCCAGTGGTGCCACAGAAGCTACCAAAATAACGAAGGATATTTGAGATGTTTCCAACAAACGTCATTTAGATATACGAAAAAAAGACATAAAATCCGAATGCAGCGCATAGCTTCACATTCAGAAAATAAATATGTCGGTGAATGTGGTCGTTTGTGAACAGATGGAAGTTTCTGAGAAAGGTGCAACGCTTTCTTCATAGTGAAGGACTGCCCATCGAAAAACCTCGTGACCGAAAAACATTTCGTTACCCTGAATTTTCAAAAAAAATCAAAAATAATGGTTGAAGGCGATTTAGAGCAATGTTCTAATCGGAGTGTATGTTAGGTGCCATAGGATGTCGAATAAAATTAATAAATAAAAACGAAAATAAAAAATTAAAAAAATAAAAAATTGAAAAATCAAAAAAATAAAATAAAAAAATTGTCGAATAAATAAATTAAAATTAAAAATTAACAAACTGACAAAAATCGCTTCGGTTACTTCACGGATTCAAACCAAGGAGGAAAGAATGTGGAATGAAACGTTTAGCTTGGATATACGGTCTAACTTGTTCGGCTGAATAGGAATTTTTCTTCAATATTTCACTGAAAGAAGAAGAATTATGAATGAAAGAATTGGAAAGTGGCACACCACTGGCGCGCATTTGTTCGCCAAACCGGCCACCATCTCCACCAATTCCGTAAAATGTACAGTAGCGAGCTTCATACGGATGTAATTCCCACTCATCAACATCTCTGGCCAGATGGAATGACAAGTGGGCTGCTGTAGACCTCATTCCTTGCCTGATTGCTACGGTATTCTTCTTTGTTCGAATCGGACGTCAACATTGTTAAAAAAGGGATTTTTTGCTTTTTCTCAAACATATCACTGTATATCCATGGTTAATGGTGATTACAGTTATCGAACAACGTCCAATAAAGGATGGAATCAATGCGTCAATTCTAGGAATATCCTATATCCCCCGGCAAAGGGTGAGAAGATATTCAGACTTGATCAATCCCACAATAATGCACCATATATCCGACTGCCGGGTTAAATGAGTTGGCTTCCGTTAGCTTTTACGATCACTTGTGTAGGTTGATAGAGCGATGTAGAATCCTGATGAATGTAGATTGATGTAGAATGTAGTCATCGGTAGAATCTTCCGAGACATGCCCGGTTGCAATTTTCTGGCCACAGAGTCATTGAAAGCTAAGTTGACCTCGATTAGGAACAATAGGTTTGTGTTTGCAATTGAAGACAGCCTTTATCCATCGGTAGGACATTTAAGACCATTGTTTAGGCCATCCATGTATTCACCAATCTATAGAAGTCGAACTGGAGCAATCCTCAGGAATTGATAAACGCCAGTACATTGTTCTTTTATTACTCATTACCGTTCCAAACCCATTTCTTAACCATTGTAGTCATCACCATTATTGCTCAATCATTTTAACAGAAATTTAGTGCTGTGCTTGTCATGACTTTCACAGCGAAAAGCAATTTGTAACTTAAAATTATAGTCAAGTCCTGGAATTCCAGTTTCCGCAGTCACAAACGCCGGAATTCTCGTGAGGTTTCATATTATTTCTGAAACGTATCACATAGTTTATCAATGAGTCCCTTCCTAAGACGACTCTCACTTAACCTCGGCGTGGCTATGCAGTACATTTCCTTAGAAAGTTCGGCTTACACAAGCTTGTCGTAGAAATGTTTTCGGCTGGCCTTTCGGAGCCGCAACGATTCGAGTCGGCTGTCCTCAGCCCTTCGCCATTGCAATGTTTGGTTTATTAGTCTCGAATGCGCGGAAACCTTAGGTCGAATAGAAGTTTTATAACAACTTTGTGCCTGTACAATAATCGAAAGCCATACGTATTAGTGAAGGCTCTAACGAAATTTTGTTTCTGAGTTGTTGAAAACAGTTGGTGGAAGCACAACAACACTGTTTGCATCGTCATTATCGCACAGTTTATGAAAGGCAACGTAAACGGAATATTCTTTGTGCCAAATCGCTCGTTTTGGAGCGTCGTTGTCCTTCAGAATTTAGCTCATGCAGCTACGATTTCCTGGAAATTGGAAATGGCTACTTCGCGAGCCAAACCGGACCATTCCTTCCTTAGTTCTCTTTTCCTGTACAAAGAAGTGGCTGTTCGAAACATGTGCCTCGCAATCGCCATCATTGTGTGTTAAGGGTGGGAAGACAGGAAATGAAAAAGGATTTTCTTGTTTCTTGGTTTTCGATAGCTATTTGTCATTTAATCGCCATCTGGTAAGTTAATTTGAACGCTAAAGAATGGAAGCCAATTTTCTCTCGGTTTCTCCTGGGTGACTTTGATGTACTCAGGCTGCTCATTCGATAATTCGCAGTATTTTTGCATATCCTCTCGAGTAGAAAAAATGACAAACAATAGTCCGTACATCTACAGTAGACTGCCGGAAACCGAGGAGGAATGTATTTTAAACATAAACACTATGGCTAGGTTTGACTCCAGTCATTGTCCCATTGCCAGGCCTCTCACTTGCGCGTAATATTTTCCGGACCATCTCATAATAGAGCAGCACTCCTTTAGGAGTAAGACCAGTTATGGACTGAGAAGTGAGGAATATTTGGGTCTTCGCAAGACGAACTGGATTACATTCAAAAAACTGGGTAAGTATTAGGGTTAAAATCTATTCACTTAACAGATATTTGAATTTTCTCCGTTAAATGATGTATGCCCAAAAGAAACACGAGTTGTTACCACCGGCATTATCATTATATATCCACCATCAGCATCGTGTATAAAAGGGTCTCACTGAGTGAGGATGCCTCATTCGAGAAGATGGATCACTGAGGAAGACCTGGCTCGACACGAAGGCGAAGCTGCAACGTCGACACGAACAACAATCATGGACCATCGACTCGGATCATCGGCTCTGAGGAAGACGAAGACGTCGAAACGTTAGCCGAAGATAAATATATTTCTCAACCTCGTGCAAGCTTGTCAAGAAAGAATACATATTTCTCCGTTAAGTCACATCAGCATTTGACCAAGATGCCAACCTAAACAGAAAAAGATTTGCCATTTCGTCTACATCTTGGAATTAAGTGGGTTCAATTACGATTTATGCCTCCGGATCATTCTCACTAACAGGTTATTGCTAATAGTACCGCTAGAAGAAAAACTGGCTGAGAGATAAGCAAAGAAGCGAGTTCGATTGGTGCAGTGGGTAGCAGGCGTGTGGCCGGAAAGGGTGGTCTTAGGTTTTAAACCCACCTGAGGTTCCGAGTTCTGCTCGTATCTCAGGTTTTTCGCAGTTGCATATTAAGATTTCT